AAATAGGCCGGAAGTGTCCAACACACCCCACCCCCCCCCCTCCCGCCAACAACAAAAGGAAGCGATACATAGCCCTTGAAACAGATGCATATAATACCAGGAGCCCCCAACGTGAAGCCTAGCTTCCTGAGTGCCTTACAGCCTCTGAAGCAGCTCTCTTAAGGGAGACCCCTAGAACAGCCCCGTTGGAATAGAATAATTGGAGGTTCATGGGTAGTTATAAGTAGGGTTATAAGTCCCCGAATATGGGTTATAACTATAGTTACCTCACCTATAACCCCACTTACAACTACCCACGAACCTCCAAGTAAGAGTACCCACTATGGGACCTGAAGGTCCCAGATCTACGAAGGATCCCCAAGAAAAAGCCCAACCTTTACGAGAGAGCTTGGAGCCCCCCAAAACCGTCAAACCCCCCCCCCTAAATTCCTAAATCCGGATCGCCTGCAATGACTGCCTGCATAAATCCCTAAACCCCCGTCTGCCAGTTGCTTGAAGCTCGTGTCTTTGGCCGAGCGCCTATCGCGTCCCAGCTACATTTTCCGCCACTGGGCCAAGACCAGGTCTATGGAGTGTGAGAACAGTGGTATGAGGGCTTGATAAGAGTTGTATAGGATGTTCGGGTGAAGGGTTGTATAGCATTGTATAAGGTCCACCAGAGTATGTTTGTGATGGGAATTTATCGTTTTTTTGGTCGGGGTCTCCCTTCATTTTCGGGTCCTGCTAGGTTGGAGGAGTTCTTGAGAGCCTGTAGAAGCCTTATAGGAGTCTTACGATGTTGTGCGTTGTGTCTTGTAGGAGTCTTACGAGATTTTACCTTGTGTTTAACGCCTTTTGGGATGGGGGAAGCTCATGGGGCTGTTGCAAAGCTTTACACGGCATCTTGCTGTTAAGCACACCTTTCAGGTGTCTTGGCAATGAGGAGCCTACGACTTGGGGGTCGTTTGGTGGGCCTCTCCTTTCTTACTTGGAGGTTCAGGGGTAGTTATAAATGGGGTTATAAGTAGGGTAACTATAGTTATAACCCATCTCAGGGGACTTATAACTCCATTTAGAACTACCCATGAACCTCCAAGTACGGCCATCTCGAGCTTTGGGATCTTGCGGCTGTTTCCCATCATGGCCCCCCTTTAAAAGCTTGCGTTTCCGCGGCTTGATCTCCGGAAGGGTTTGCATGTAGGATTTGGGATCCTAAACCTTAAACCCTGTGTAGGATTCGGGGTTTTCAGGTTCAAAGTCTGTCAGGGTTTAGAGTTCGCGGGTCTCGGGCAATGGGCGGTACTGGGGTTTAAAGCCTCTAGGTTTGGGGAGAGTTTAGGTTTAGAGAAGAAGACGGTTAATATAGGGGTCTTAATAGTTAGAATAGGGTTTTGGGGCCCACTACACTATAGTTATAATAAGGAGCACCCAAAATAGTATTGGTAATTATTTGGGCCCTTGCCTTATCTTCGAAATCTCGATCAGCATGTCGGCCTCGAGACAACCCTCCAATCACTTCTGCGCGTGCATCCTCAAACACGCCCACCATGCATGCAAGCTGAAGCCCCGAACATCCTTTGGCCCGAAACCGCAACACCCTAAAACCCTCGAAGCCCAACACCACCCTTATCCTTCCTGTGCCCAGGCACTGCCTTTACCCACCATAGCCTGGTCTTCCTCGCACCTTGCCTTCAGACTGACACACCTTGAGACTGATGGTCTAACATAGAAGCTTAAGAAACTACCCATATTTTGCGAAAATATATCTCAAACCAGTTCCAATTTTTGCGGCCTCTAAATTATGCTTTCGGCGCACGGTTTTGGATTGTGGGAGGCGTGGTGCGATCCAGCAACCACAGGTGCTTGGAGGTTCATGGGCAGAGGAAGTAACTTAGATATGGCGTCGTGACGATGTCGAACCGCGATTAAGCAAGCTGCTTGTAGCCCGATTTATATCTGCCTGTGACCCTTCAAACGCCTGAAACTCTGAAGCCTCTGAAGCTAGAAACCCTGTTGGTTGGGTCATAGAAAGGTCAAGCACTTCGGCTCGGGATTCAACAGCAAGGAGTATTATTGACCTTCTGTTTCCCTCAATGTCCCAAACCCCCGACGCTAAACCCCAGACTGGAGCTTCTCGTTGTGAGTTGGAGTTTTAGGGTTCATGCTTAAGGGCAGGACACGATACAACTGGCTTAAATGTGTTGAATTGCCCACTTGGTCCAGCCGGTCCCTCTGTTGGAGCGACAGGCTACTCCTAAGCCTTGGACCATGGTTAACGCGTCTAAGCCAAGGAGACAGCGATTGTTTCAAGGTAGCGATGGCTCCTAACAGGTCCTCTGGTAGTGCCCTTCTTTTGGGGGCTTCCTTTATAAGAATTGAAAAACAATAAACCCCACCCTGAACCCTTTCGCTCCCCAACCGGAACCCTAAACCCGAGTTTAACGAGCCCAGATTCCCGCCAGGAATTCAGCACAGAATCTGCGAATCTGTGAAGGATATTTGCGGGCATGGTATAGTACTGTACAGTATAGTATGGTACAGCATGATGCAGTGTGTAGGGATTGTGAGAGAACCTTTCTACTCGAGAATCAGGGGTCTGAATTATGGGTAGTATTATTTGGCTAAGATGTTCAAGCAGCACCAGTCGGAGTGAACCCTAAATCGATGTGTAAAGCCATGATAATAGCTATTCATAATGGTTAAAGCAATAATGGTAATGACAACAAAGATAGTAATAGTAATAGCAATAACAACAGCAATACTAAATATATCAAGAATAGCAATAGTAACAATAACACGTGTCAAGGTTGAGATGTTGGTGAACATCGTCCGAAGCCCAAGACGTCTCTGGCTTTTTGCGGTGGTGTCGTTCTCGACTCGGGTTTCTGCTACTACCATTATTATGTGCGCCACTGCTGTGCTGTTGCTATACCTTCGTCTCACTACTTGCTGTTGCTGTCAAGGGTCGTTGTGCCCGTGCTGTTCGGAGGTTGCTGCAATATGGGTCGTCCAGAAGTGAAGTCAATGTAGATCCATCCCAAGAGCCCCTTGTTGGTGCGCAATGTCGATGTATGAGAAGATGCTGGGTACGTTTGCCTGCCGCAGCTTTTTTTGCGTTGGAAAAGCACCAGGATAGGGTTTCCTACACCCTAAACGCCGAAGCCCTGAATCACTATATCATCACACCATTTGCAACCACAGTGTGTCAACATGACAGGGGCCTTGCAGCATAGGGGCCACTTCTTGGGGTCCTACTTGGAGGTTCATGGGCAGCTATAAGTGGGGTTATAAGTAGGGTGACTGTGTTTACAGCCCATGTTAGGGGAGTTATAACCCTACTGATAACCGCAACTGAACCTCCAAGTAGACCTGAGGGCGCAAGGTTTTCAGCCATTTTGCGATCAAGCTGTTTATGAACATGTGTATGACCCCCACGATACTTCTCGGTATCACTACTATTACGCTTCTGTTTCTTTCTGTTGTTCTTGCTGGTATTATTCTATACTACACACTACACTACGTCATGCTATACTATACTTTGCTATGTTATATTATATTAAACTATATTGTAGTATAATTGCTGCTCTTCCTATTGCTTTCGGTGATTTCGTCTTCCGAGGTCCAGTATCAATACGAGGCCGGATCCTCAGAGGCAAGTCACGCCCCTGATGTTTCCTCCACGGTGCCCTTCTTTGGGAGTTTAGCTTCAGGTAGTATATCTGGAGTTAATGCTATAGGGGCCTGAATAATTACCTATACTATTTGGGGGGGGGGGGGGCTCCTTATTGTAACTAGAGTATAATATACCCCCAAACCCTATTCTAATTACTTAGGCCCCTACATTATGGTGTTTATGGGGTGCTTCTGTAGGAGCTTGATTTAAACCACAATTGGGGTTGCCAGGATTTGATTTGTAGGGCTCGTCTTTGAGAGATGATTTTAAGTTACCGTGAATTCGTTGATATGGTAGTTGGTATGCTTTGCCTTCGTCGCATGCCCTAGGAGGATTCAGATTCAAAAAACAAACCCCCAGTGTCTGGTTGTGTTTGGAGGTGTGATGCTCGCGAATAGCAAACGACGCTGGCACAGACCATCTGCTGCAGGCAGAACGAGCAATATGGACGGCTATTGAAGTAACGGCTATATCTGCACAGCAGTCCATGAATAGGAAAACAAACCAAAGCAGATCCCTTAACAGAGGGGGGTTCGTATAAACTACCGTAGGGTCCCAGAATAGGGGATCTACCTGGTGCGTTTGGATCCTTCCCGGCGGTCTGGGTTAGTATTCTGACGTCAAGCAATTCCTCAAAAAAAGGCCAGTCTTTTGAAGCCTTACTTGGAGGTTTATGGGTTTATGCGTAGTTTGAAGTTGGGGGTATAGCTCTCCCAATACGGGTGGTCTAGGGCTTGGGGTACTTATAAATGGAGTTCATATGGCCTATAACTATAGCTGCCCTACTTCTTATATCAACACATGAACCCTGAACCCTAAAACCTAAAGCCTAAAACCTGAAGCCTGAACCCTGAACCCTAACCCATTTTGTAACAACCCATGCACCTCCAAGCAGGGCTTCGTCAGCGCACCAGTGACGACTCCGAACTCTGAATTCGAATGCTGGGGTTTTTAGGCAGAAGCCAGGTTTTAGCGTTTAGGGTTTTAGAGGGTGGGGTTTAGGGTTTTAGGGGTTAGGGTTGTAGGGTTTAGGGTTGTAGGGTTTAGGGCTTTAGGGTTTTGGGGTGTAGGGTTTTAGGGTGTTAGGGTTTAGGGTCATTTTCGCCGTGTTCCCAAGCCCCCGATCCCTCAGCGAGGCTTCTTCCACCCAGGGCCGAGCTCAATCCTTACGATCTGCGAACCCTGAAAACCCTCAAACACACGGCAAAACCCTGAAATCCTAAACCCTAAAACCCTACAACCCCAAAACTCTAAAACCGTAAAACCCGAAACCCCAAAACCCTAAAACCCAAAACCCTAAAACCCTAAAGCCTCTCACGCTGAGGGCAATGTCATGATGGTCTATGCCATCCTTCGGCAGTCTGAGGCCGTCCCCCTCTAGGACATTTTCGGATGGGTAGTTACCGTTATAGTTATAGGAGCTATAGAAGGTCTATATACCTTATAGAAGCCTCATAGAAGCCTTATAAACCCTAAACTCCCCAGCTGTAGTTTCCTTTAACTCTGGCGGCTCTAGAGAAGCACTTTCGTCTACTCAGAACAACTGGGAGAAGAATAAAGAAGAAGAGTTATGATAATATTTTGACTCATGGAAAGGATACTGATAATCATTCAGGAATACAGAGCTAGCTCTGTGAGTTCGGTGCAGAGAGCGGTTGGAGCATGAGCTTGAAACTGCGTTCTTTCATGCTGCCTACGCAGTATGGGGTAGGCTTCCAGGCAATGCCCTTTCAACACGTTCTCTGACATGGGAGTTTCCGAAATAGGGGGTACGTTATTTTGGGGGTCCTTATAATAAGTATCCTACCATTTAAGGTACTATAATAGGGTCCCCTATTTTCGGAAACCCCCACATGAAACACGATTTTCTTCATCTCTCTGAGTCAGTAGCCCAAGACCTGAAAATCCCGTGAGTCCTAGACCCGCACCTTTCCCAGAAGCACGTCCGCAATTAGCTGAAACACCTACACTCGGTCCCATTCGTAGTATAGGATACCAGGTTGGTTGTAGATACTGCCATGGTGTTTTTCTTGGAACTTGGTGACTTGATGTAAGTTATTGGAATATAGAACTACTTCAGTACATAAATATCAAATATCCTATATCTATATCTATATCTGGGTATATATATATATACACACAGATATTTAGTTATTGATTGGTGCACTTATTTGTATGAATATGAGATGTGCTATGCTGCCCAGGGTATGGCAACTCAAATCGAGATCCTTGAGACTTAACGCCCCTGACAAGCTCCTCCCATACAACAGAGCCCTTACGATGCTGACTGAAAGTTTGCTTTCGTAGCCCAGTCTTCCTTCGCGGGAAACCCTCCATCATACGGTTTAGGATTTAGGGCTTAGGGTAGATCGGACACTTTCTACGGCAACTTCATGTTAAGTCCCTTGGGGCAGGAACCTCCACAGCTTGGTTCCTGAAGAAGAGCCCCTAAACTCCTGAGCCCCATGCCAATAGGCTTCAACACACCTGCAGCCCGAAACCCTTAAGAAGAGCCCGAATTTCCTGCAGAGGTGTTCCGAAAGATTCGAGCTCTCGACCTGTCGACTCTTGGGCTGTTTTCTGGGTCCCCAAAAAACGGGAGGGGTGTTTAGGGTTTAGACCTCATAGGGTGTTGGGTGTAGAGTTTTGGGGTTTAGGGTTCAGGGCTTTTGAGGCCTCCAAAGAATCGGGGGACGAGGCTTGAGGGCATTGGGTTCGGAGGGCTTCCTTCTATAAGTATTATATGGGAGTTTCCGAAGATAAGGGGTACCTTATTTTGGGGTCCTTATAATAGGGATCCTATTATTTAGGGTACTATATTAGGGCCCCCCTATTTTCGGAAAGCCCCATATGAGCTGTTGATTTCATTTCATTAGGTGTACAGGTGATGCAACTGTAATGTTATTAGTGTTTAGATATGGTTATATTGTGTACTATTGGTATTGTCATCTTGTTGTATTTAAGATGCTACTGTAGTGCTTCTCTAAGGGCTCCTTGAAAGCTCTTGGGGTTTGGGTGACAAAGCTTGAGGGCTTAGGAATCAAAGGGCATTTTCTGGAAAACAAGCTACTGTAACCAATATGCTAGTGTTGAAAAAGGGGCTGGGGCTTAAGAATTTTAGGGTATTCGGTGGTGGGTCGTGGGGCTCCTTGTGACAGAGATCCTACTATGTTTAGTGTCTGAAACTCCCGGCTAAAGCCCGTTTTATTGGCCGGGGGAGCTAACACGGAGGTCTGAATAGCTGGTAGTTGCATTCCACATTCCCTATAGGACGATGCTAGACTGTACCCCAAAGCCCAGGTCAAAGCTGTTCAGGCACTTCTATTGCACCAAGAACCGTACAAGTGAAGTTCGCTTGTGCTTCAAGTCTCCGCCGAGACCTCAACGAAACCCTAAATCCTAAACTGTACTTGGAGGTTCATGGGCAGTTATACATGGGGTTATAAGTAGGGTAACTATAGTTATTGTGAATCATGGCATGTCGTGCTGACTTCGGACGCCGTTAAGGCTTGTAAAGCAAAAGTGAGTGCCCTGTAATTCTACGAGGGTTATGAGCCCAACGCTCACGTAATTCCTTCTGTGTTCATGGCGACTTCAGCTGACGGTGCGGAAGGAGAAGGGCAAAGGTTTATGGAGGAGGCCCTGCAGGAAGGTTCTGGAGAGGAGTCCAGACGTCATCTTCAAGAAGTTCGAGTTGACGAGCAGGTGCAGGATCCTCTGTACGAAGCGAGCCGGTCAGAGACTGTTTTGGTCGAGAGATCAGCTGCTGAGCACGGAAGCCAGGGAAATCATGTGGAGTCTCCTGTGGTCCAGCGAGATTCCACCTCTGATGGGCAGCCAGCGCTGGTTTCTCTGACAGAGCAGCAAAGTTTGGGGGCGTGCGATAACGGCGGAGCTGTGGCCCGGACGAGATCTATGGAGCGTCGTGAAGAAGATGTTGGCCAGATCTCGCGGTCTCTGAACTTTATGACTGGTTTGCTGAGCACCCTTGTGGGAAGAGTGGACCGAATGGAGCAATGGCAGTCTGCCAGTGGTTCGGTGGGTGGCCAGGTTCCGATGAGTACCGAGGAAGGATCGCAGCAGCCTACTCCATCGGCTATGACTCCGGCGACTGCAACTTCAAGGCCGACAGGTGCACTGGGAGTGGAAGACATGGGACGGCTGCAGCGGCAGCTGAATCAGATGTCTTTGGGGCAGAGCGGAATCGAGCCAGAGTTCGAGCGACCTCTGGCGTCACTGGAAAAGGTTATGGCTGGGACCTTCAGCAGTGATGATAGCGAGACGGCTCGTCGTAGATCGGCTGAGGTGGAGCGCGGTATTCCAGGACGGTTTTTGGGACCGCTGGCGGAGACGAATTGGCCCGTGCTTCTGTACGGGGATCCAATGACTTCTTCTTCTCAAAGTATGCCACCGCTTCAGCAGGCTATGGAGTCTCAAAGAATGCCGTCGCTTCAACAGGCTATGGGGTCTCAAAGAATGCCTTCGCTTCAACAGACTATAGAGTCCCAGAGTATGTCTTCGCTTCAGCAGGCTATGGAGTCTCAAAGAATGTCCACGCTTCAACAGGCTATGGAGTCTCAAAGAATGCCTTCGCTTCAACAGGCTATGGAGCTTCAGAGAATGTCTTCGCTTCAACAGGCTATGGAGTCACAGAGAATGTCCACGCTTCAACAGGCTATGGAGTCACAGAGAATGTCCACGCTTCAACAGGCTATGGAGTCACAGAGAATGCCGATGCTTCAGTCAGTGGGTGGGTCTACGACCAGTCCTCAGCGGAGCGCCCTGGAGGATGCTACCTTAGGTCAATTCAGGCCAGCCTCCAGGATCCCAGAGCTGAATGCGGAGCGAGAAGACCCACCTGGTCTTAGCAGGGGAAAGGGCGTCGGGGATGTTGGCTTGGAGGAGAGATCTATGACCATGCCAGCAAGCACGGTGTCTCCTTCTAAGGGTCCGGGGCGTGATGATGTGACTGCGGCTCCTGAGGCGGAACCTGGTTGGCCTAGCTCTTCGTCTGTGGCTACAACTTCAATGGCGACGCAAAGGCGTCATGACCCTGTGCAGGGGTCGCCCGTTTCAGTGACAGAGCTTCGTCCTCCGGTGGAAGGGGGTGTGAGCAGTGGTGGGTTGGTGATGAATGCGCCGCCCAATGGTTTGGTTATGGTGGATGGCGTCTGGAGGGAGTATCGGATGGTTCAAGGGCAGATGGTGGTTCAGCCTCTGTTCGGTGGCAGCGGTGGAGCTGGCTTCTCAACCTTGAATCGTGGTGACAATGGGAGTGCAGCTCCTAATGGAGGAGTTCCGCCCCCCCCTCCAAATCCGCCTACTACGCCTAAGGCTTCGGGGCCAAGCTGGAATCCAAATGTGACGCCAGGGGGGACCCCTGTTCCTCCACCTCCTCCTACGACGCCTTTGACTACCTCAACTACCACAAGTGCAAGCTTCAGTGAGGAGGTCGAGGAGCCATCAAAGCTGGTGACTAAGCTTCCCGCGCTTCAGTCAGCAAAAGGGGGTGATGCAGCGGTGGTGGCCGGGGATTGGTTGGCCCAGCTGGAACCAAGTATGAGCTCGTTGTCCCCGACGGCGGCGAGGTGGTGGTCTGCTTTGATGGAGAGAGTCAAGGACCTGTACAGTCTTTGGCTTGAGAGCGCTCCGGTGGCACGCTTGACGATACGTCAGCAAGTTCTCTCAAGGCGACCCCCTCCGGATCGCCACCATAGAGTGGAGCAGAGAGCGGCGATGCTGTTGCTGGACGCGCTACCCGAGGAACTTCGTCATGAGGCCATCAGTGCTCGTGCTGTGACCGCGGAGTCTATGGTGTTCATGGTGCACTGTGCCTACCAACCTGGAGGAGCGGGCGAGAAAGCGCATTTGCTACAGTTTCTCACGGTGCCGGAAACGGGCAATGGCTTGGAGAACACCTTGAACTTGGCGCGGAAGTGGATCAGGCTCTTTCGGAGAGGCCGCGAGCTACAGGTTGTGCTGCCAGATCCAAGCTTGTTGTGCCGTGGCCTAGACAAGTTGGTGAGTGCTACCTTTTCCGGGGCGGGCAACAAACATCCATCTGCCTCGTTCCGGATCGCCTCTTTCAAGTTGGAGCGTCAGTTGGAGTACCGTGCCACAGCCGTGGACATTGAGGACTATGCCTACTTGATCCTCGGCGAGCTGGAAGCAGCTCAGTTGGCACAGCCGCTTCCGGTGCAGCCCAAGGTAGCTCGGATGGATGATCATGTCAACGCTGGTGCAGACGGCGGCGACAAAGGCAAGGGCAAGGGAAAGGGCAAGAAACCATGCTGGGGCTGGCAGGACGGCACGGGCTGCCGTTATGGTGCAAATTGCATGTTCTTGCATTCGCCCTTGGGTCCCGGACGCTGTTGGGAGTGTGGCTCTGAGTCCCACTTGAAGCCGCAGTGCCCGTTGCTCGGGCAAGGGGGGAAGGCTTCTGGTGGTGGAGGAAAAGCGGGTGGAGCGCAGTCCAGCTCTGGTGGAGCCGCAAGCAATGGCAGTGGAGGGCAAAGTGGTGGTGCCCAAAATTCTTCTTCGACTTCGGCGGCTACGGCTGGAACGACTGGAGGTGGCGAGGACAAGCCACCAAAGAAGAATCGTCGAAAGGGAGGAGGAAAGGACCGCCAGAGGGAGGCGGTGAGAAAGACCGAGGAGGAAACTCCTGCTGAGGACCCGGGCCGCGCTACGGTCCCTACTGTGGGCCCCGAGGACACCTCGGCCAGGGCGGAGTTCTTCGAGGAGGCGACCAAAGCTTTGAAGTCGTTGAGGCTGGCCAAGATGACGATGAAGTCGCTTCAGAGCTCTTCGGGGGGTGGCGGCAGGGCTCTAGTTGACTCTGGAGCTACCACGTCTATGAGGACTGCACGCGGAAATGAGGCGAAGGGGCTTCCTTTGAGGACGGTGCTACTGGCTGAGGGTGAGACCACGTTCTACCAGTTGCCTGGAGGAACCTTGCTCACCACCAAGGAGACCGCCCCCATTGTCGCGATGAATGACCTTATGGAAGTGGGCTGTCGCGTGACGTGGTGCAGCAGTGAAGGCTGTTCTGTGGTGCATCCCGTCAAGGGCGACCTTGGTGTGCGTGTTGTTCATGGATGCCCTGAAGTGGACGAGGCAATGGGTTTGGACTTGATTGCCGAGGCGGAAGCGACCAAGTTGAGGAGACGAGAGGCCGAGCTGGCCGTCAATCGTCTTGTTGAAGGTTGCCAGCGCACCAGACTGGATGCTCGAAAGCTAGACTGGGAGCTGGGTGTCAAGGCTGCAAAGGAGCTCTACAATGGCGTGGGGTTGTCTTGGGCCTGGCTTCATCAGACCTTCCCCGAGGCTCCGTCGTGGTTGGTGTCGGCTGTCCCGGTAGTCGCCGGAACAGATGGGAACCAAGTTCCGTGGAACCGCCATGAGAGAAAGAAGTGGAGGAAGGCATCGGCTGTGGCAGTGCATTTGTTCTGCGGGCGGAATCGAGCTACGTGGAAGTCAAGCGCGGAAGTGGCCCATGTGGTGACGGTGGACCAAGCCGAGGATGTGATGGCGGATGCGACCTACGCGGCTTTGTTGGACCTC